CTAAACCATTGTTTTGATTTGTTTGGTCCATTTTGAAGTGTGAAAAGTGCGTGAAAATAGCGTGGAAAGTGCGTGAAAAGACCGTGAAAAACCCGTGAACACCATCAAAAAACTGGGGGCAAGACTCAAATGATGGTCTGACTAAAGTTTTTGCAAAATCGAAGATCTGGTGTGACACATTGCGCGCTACCTTTCTTGTGGAGCATGTGCGTCATGGATGCTATCTTTAGGATTCAGTAATGGCAAGCTGAAGCGAAGGGAACTTGTTGGAACTCCTTGAAGGCCGGTATTGTTTATTCTGCATTCTTGATGTAATCAAAGATTCTGCCTCTGCTCTGTGGAAGGCAGTAGTGATAGGCAGTGAAATGATGGGGTTAAAGACATTGGGGTTAGATTAAGCACAACGAAACAAACCTTGTGGTTGGAAGGTCAGGGTATCCGTACGAATCCCCAAATTTCTCTGGCGATTCATCCCATACGAATCCCGCTGGTAACTCGTCGTCCAGTGGCTCGCCGGTGTTGAAGTTCACGTTGGGATGAAACACTTTGGTTTCAAAACTCACCTGGCGAATCCCAAGCTCCGAGAAACGGCGGAAGATGGGACAACAACGGGGCCCTCCAAAAAGGAGTCAGATTTGGAGAAGATGTGAGGATATCGCAGCTGCCTACCCACACATCATGTTCGAATTGACACAAAAGCAAGAACCACAGGCCCACTCCGTCGACGTTTTTTTGCGCAGCAATTAATCACCCATTTTAATAAAGTCTCAACAAAAAACTGGCATCTCAAAACTTTCAAGATTGCCCTCTGACAATCAAACATGGCAATCGAAAATGGAGGGTATTCAAATTCCTTTCAGCCCAATGATTTCAAGAAGTGGCCTCCAGATACTCCAACCCACTGCCTGTGGCGCAGCGTAGGGATAACTGGCTGAACAGAGGATCTTCAGCTGAAAGCGACCTCCCTCATAGGGCGACTCCTGACAAGGGAAAATCATGGCAAGGCACATCTTGGATCGCATAGAGGTGTTTGAAAGAGTACATCTTCTTGGGATCAATATTAATCTGGTTGGTGGTATACCTACCCCTCTGAAAAATGATGGAGTTCGTCTGTTGGGATGATGACATTCCCAATATGATGGGAAAGTCATAAAAGCCATGTTCCAGTCACCACCAACCAGTAATATAACATTATTATAATATGTACACCCTCCTGTGTCCACAAACATGGCAATGGAAGATCCATAATCAAGCCATCAAACGTTCGATCATCTTCCATGAACACACGCCGAATTTATGAGGATGTCTCATTCCCACGTTTGATTACCTGAAGGTATATTTGTTCTTAGTGATATGGCATGCAAGCAATATTGAAGAGTAGGCCCTACGTAGTTTCACGCGTCATTAAAAGGTCACTTAAAGGGATCCATAAACATGGAATGAAATATGGAATGAGAAGCCCCCGCACGATGATGGGCCTACACGCTTTGGAAATAGAGCGTGCCAGGCAAAGTGGCCAAAGCCCAATCACTGTTGCATCATTCCATTCAATGGATTGGTTTAAGGGAAAATCTACAGGAAACCATAGAGTTTCCCATTAAATATGGGGCTTTCCTGTAAATTTTCCCTTAAACCAATCCATTGATCCCTGACAAGTAAGGGCTCTGGAAATATGGACATGCAGAAGAATCGTCAGGTTGGATCCCAGCACGACAAACACGTGACCACACAACTTGCCCCTGCAAAGTGAACATCCCTAAGAAAATGAAACAGCATGGTCTTGTGGGATGTGAATAACAACCTCATTTTGGAGTGTTTGTTTTGGATTTATCCATCCTCACTCATGGCTGGTTGGTGGTATACCTACCCCTCTGAAAAATATGAAAGTCAGTTGGGATGATGACATTCCCAATATATGGAAAGTCATAAAAGCCATGTTTGAAACCACCAATCAGACAGCCATTTATAGTTGATTTACCCATTAATAGCGTGGTGATGTTCCACATGTTATGTTATGGGACTGTTTACCAGAGGGTGTTAGCCTAATGATATCTAATAATTATCCCAATGATACCCCTATACAATCATATTTTGGATTTATCCATCCTCACTCATAGACAATATGAACTTCGAGAACTGCGGCTGGGCGGCTGGGTCTCCCGCCTGGGGACCATTGATGACGGCGCGCCACTGTTCAAAGCTGTCACCATCCCTGGAATGCTCGGAGAACTGTTACCACGTGCCGTGAACGGCAGGAGCACTTACCGTTTGTATATTCAAACTGCGCAAATGCCACACAAGTATACCGATAATCATTGATAATCATCATATATGCACATATGAATAAAGGATAATAAAGGAATAACATCATATAAAATCATATAAACTCATATAAAGCCATATAAAATCATATAAAATCATATAAATAATGAAGATATCATGGATGGAACTCGTACTTGGGGCTGAAGCAGCACGGAATATGCCCCCTTGGGGTCGACTACTCATCCAATGGGGACACATAAACCTGTGATACCACGAGAAGAAATACTACCAGCACACGTTTCGGTCCAAACGCTTGCCCCACGACGTTTTCCTGCTTGTTTTTGGCGCTGTCCTCGTGTTTTTATATGTTTTTATCATCCCAGCTGGAAACTGTTGGTCATCTGACAATCTGTTGTAATTATGCTTTCCAGCCGCTGGAAAGTCAGTTTGCGCCGCTTGGGTGTGGGTCACATTTTCAGTGGAGACCACAAGGATTCACCAGGATTGATCCAGCCGAAGTCCTAATAAATTGTATGAATCAACCTGTCCTGTAGTCATGATGTCCCATTTATTGGTTGTATCAATCACCATTGTTTCAATTCATGCTTCAAATCCCTTCATTAGCACAATCCGTATATTAAAAATAATGCATATCTCAATCTCCATTTTTCGTTGGAAAACAAGTCCCTGCATATTTCCTTCAAAGAAAAAAATGAAAAAAAATATAATATGTGCACCAACCAGTCACCAAGGTGTATAGTTTTTTTGCGACACCCTGAGGCCGACGCAATTCCAGCAGGATGTCGGGGTCAGGGTTCCTGGCGCTTAAAATGTGGTGAGCTGACCAGTAAAACATTGGGAAGCCATTGGAAATTGTTGAACTTGGTACAGTGGTTCGTTTAACTCATGAATAGTTGTGGGATACATCATACATCCCACATAACTATACATAACTGGGATGTACCCCCAAGTGTAGCTGCAAAACAAAAAGGAAACTTTGGAGCTACAACTACCCAACCTTTGCGGGAACCAAGAGTTGAATTCGGATATTGCACAATCTCATTAAAGAATCAATACGCAACCAAGCGAGAACCATTGGGTCGCGTTGGGGACATTTCCACAACTTATGGTCAGGTTGTAGACCCTGCTTTCACACCACGAGTACCCAGGGAAAACAGTGGATTGTGATGAGTGATGACTGGTTTACCCTCCAGTACGTAAACATAGAGAAAAATATGGGGAAAAGTCAGCATTTTTGGATCATTACTGAACGTGAAACACGCATGGATTGCCAGCCGCTTCTCGGTCCTTTGTACTTCTTTCCATTCTTTGTTGAGACGATTTCTGCGGCGATGTTGCCAAGGAGGGACGGCGAAGGAGGGACACCCAGGCTGAGAAAATCCCGGGCAACTTATATATGTGTTCCTTCGTTTCTGGGAGTGAAACCTAAACAGTAGACAGGATGTGCAATGGTAGTGGTTATACAATGTTATATCATGTTATACATATATTATATATTATATATAGATATAGATATTATAGATATGCACATAACATAAGTAGAGCTAACTAACAAACTCTGTCTTTGGAGGTAAGGCTGGGGCACCTCAGGCATGCAACTCTAGCAACCATTCAGACTGGTCGATGTAAAGAAGACGATGTGAAGCTCGTATCGTCAGCAACGAAAATATGTAGCTTTTGGGGCTGACTACCTGATCTCAAGGTCGCGACTTGACTGTCACACAGCATACTGCAGCTATAAGTTCGCCCCTTTCATCATCCCAAACACCGACTGGAAACAAATATGAGACCCGCGGAAATGTAGGTGACCCAAGCCCAGCGAACGCAAGTCCCCCTCCTGGCCATGTTGGGAGGCGAGACCGTTCTGGACCCAAACGGCAGAACAAAGATCTGGCTGTGGTCGGCGTCTCTTTATGGACCTCCCAATCCATCATTTCAGGGCCTCGTTTTTGGGCAAAACATTACAAAATCCTTCAGAATCCACCATCTCCACGCAAATTCGTTGACAGTTGTCAAAGTTGTTGGAGAAAACATGAATAGTTTTGGAGTATACGGTATGCCCCATATCCTTTGCTGTCTTGTGTTCAGAAGCCAGCTTAGTTTCAAGCTGGAATCACACTTTCAGAAAGTGGCGATCATGGAGCTTGTCCTCGCCATGAAAATGGCCTGAGGGTCTCATCTTTGCCATGGAACCTGTACCAACTTTGATACCAACTTCGGATAGCATCTGGGTTATTTAACATAGCCATGGACAATCACCACTTTTCATAGGTAAACCATCTACAAATGGGCCATTTCCCATGGCTATGTTAAATAACCAGAGGGTACTTTATATACTTAGTAGGTTTTAAGGAGTCTCGATTGGCTGAACAAACCCCTTCGTCTTCCATCCCGCAGAGTTTTCTTTCAGCTGTTCGCTCACCCCAACAGCAGTTGGCGCCTCAATAGAGCTGCACATGTCATGAATGAATTTGTCATCCAGGTCCCTTGTCCACGATATCACCACTTTGTGTGCGTTCAGAGTTGAACAGACGGAAAACAGGTCGTCGATTTTTGCTGCCAACCACCTAGTGGTGAATGGTTCAGGATGTAATGACAACACAATATCTATCCAACGTATGTACCATGCTAGAAAAGCCGAATCGTTTTTGCTTTGAAATGGGGACCCTTCAAAATATGTGCGTACTCCAACATCAAGTTTGGAGTGTCTTTAGCGTGGCAGCAGTCTGCCAGTGAAGCGGTTCAAGTCGACTTGGGGACCCGAAGACAGACTTCTGTACACGCGAAGGAAGCACCCCTCCGCCGACTTATGCAGGGGATGTGCTGTAAATTGCTACTAGTACAAGGACGTCTGCTTCATGATGTTAATGAACTCCGATTCATTGATATCTCCTCAGGAGCTTCCCCAAAAAACAAATAAACCAAAAGGCAACCGGAGCCAAAATATGAGAAAATCGATGAAATTGGCAGCTTTGAGCTGTGCACCAATTCAAGTGCTTTGAGCTGTGCAGCACTTGGTGTTTAAGCATTGAGACTCCGATCCTCAAAAAGGTTAGTTTACAAAACTCACAGCCAAATGCCAATGGATAAAACGTGGTATTCCGTGAATCTGCCAAGTATAATTTCATCCTAAAAACAGCAAAATACAGCTATCACTTGCACCCTTCAAGGACACTGAGTCAATCAATACGTGGAACAATGGGGAAACACTTTTGGAACGTCAACATCTTGTGCGTATATATATATATACACATAATTATATATATATAGACATCTATAGTATACTATTGGATGAGTACTAATGCATCAGTGGATTACAGCCATGTCCAGAAAAAACACGGTAGCTCCCGATGACGAAAGGACGTCTCTTCCGCCAGGTATCCATCTTGGTCGAGATCAAACTCCTCAGCGCTGGATATCACGAACTAGTTCAGTTGAAACCAACAGACAGAACTAGGGGGCCTCATCTTATAGGGATATGATATATATATATGGGGGTTGATCAAAACATAGTTGCCGGTGTGTTATAAGAAATGGCCTTGCGCCCACCCTTGGGCTTCCTTGCGCTCTTCAGGGTTTTTATTGTGTTCCATTACATAGATTAAAATATGCATTTAAGAATTGATTGCCGCAAAAAGTTGCTCAGGGGGTGTTCACTGATCCAGTACCCTGTGGAACGCAATTTTTTTTAGCCTTCGGAAGCAGACTCTGATGATTCGGAGCTCGAAGTGTCAGAAGTTGAGGATTCTGAGGAGCTCCGCAGCTTCCGCTGCCATCTCTCTGATCGCAGCATGAGGCGGCGGGCCCTCGCCGCTACCTGTCTCTCCCACGGAGTTTGCGGATCATCATATATGGGCCCGCTTCAGATTGATGAAACTGAAATTTCCTGCAACGTGATGTTTAAAGTCCTGTCGTTTCGTGGCAGCCCAAATAGCTGTGTTTTCTCTCACTCGGCTTGATTCTACTGCTGCTGGCCGATCCGTGCCCAGATCAACCCCTCAATCTGACACCCCTATAAGCCACTGGACATCCAAGCAAAACACATCTCCCCTCAGGCCTTGCACCGCTTCAAACCAGGTGGTGGCTCAGGAGCTTCAACGTTGTTTTCCTTGGCCCACCTTTCAGCTGCAGCCCAGCTCTTCAGGAGCTTGCCCCGTTTCTCGGTGCTGGAAAACTTGTAGGTTCTGTACTCTATGGCGTTGCTAGTCAAATTGGTCTTAACGTCCCACACGTTCTAGCTATGAGCTCTGAGCCGCTACAGCTGCAGATACCGACCGATACAAAAAAAGAACAACGATATTAATATATCTTGCGCCCGCCCTTGCGCTTTCTTGCGCCTCCCAGGCAAAACGCACTACAAATTTACAACATAATACTCCAATCATACGTTTGTATAAAACTCCTCTGCGGGGGTTTTGATCGTCACTCATATATATATATATATATATATATATATATGGTTTTATATATGGTTTACACACATATATATATATATAACAGTATGGTGTTATATGGTTTTATGGGGATTGTGACAATGGGACAATGATTGGGATATATATATATATAATGGGAAGGAACATACTAACCCTCGGATGTCATCAAGTACGTGGCGAGCCGCTGGACGTTTTTCCCTATAGCGATGTATCATCAAACGTTGGTTCTAGTAAACTAACATAACTATGGAAAATGGCCATTTATAGTGGATTGTCCCATTAAAAATGGTGATTTTCCATAGTTATGTTAAATTACCAGAGGGTATATCCCCATGAAATATCAGATCATTATCTCCAGCCAATGAACCCAGAACATGGTGGTGATATATCTCATTTTATATCCCATGTTGATATGAAAAAAACCACCTGATATCCTTTTGACATAGCCTATTAATTAAAATCTCCCAACATTTGATGGTTAACTGGTTAATGTCAACCCTGGACTAATAAACCCCTAGATTGTTTAATTGGGAGGGTACCATTTCAGTATCAGATTATGACTATTGGAGGAGTACCCCCCTAATTTTCATAAACCGTGGTTTAGCAAAATCCGGGGTTGACATTACATATGATATTATGTGATATTATGTGTATATATATGATATTATATGTATATATAGTGTTATTAGTATGATACAGTAACTGGTTAACCATAACTGTCAACATTAAATAGCCAAAATTGCTACGGTAAATCTCCCATTCTCAGACCCAAATCCAGTGCGCCCAGCATCATCGATCATGCCCCGTAGCTCTTCATCTGTCAGTTTTTCTCCCAAATCCCGCGCGATCCGCTTCAAATTCCTGCGGTGCAACTCTTTGGAGCACAAACAAAAGTGATTTGACGAGAAATAACCAGAAAAAATGGGCGAAAAATGGTAGAGAATAATGAGGAATTGGTGAAAGATAGTGATTTGATCGAGATTTCATGGTTTACGATGTTTTTTGTAGGTATATAGTTTGATGGGTGAAACTAAACCAACTTACATAATACTGTTTGGAGCCTTGAAACCCGCAACCGCGATGACAATAAAAACTGGATGGCTGGGAATTTTCTCCAGTTTCATTGAAGATTCGCCATTGATTTTCAGGGGTAACATCTTTCTCAAAATCACTCAATAAAATTGAACAAAATGCATAAAAAAACAGTTTCAGACTCAGAACTACTATTTGACCACGTATATTCAAATACAATTTGGACAATAGATTTATGAAGTTGGACACTCTTCAGATGCCGTTGCCGGCCCCGTTGGAATCACCTGAAGGAAATCTTGCCACGCTTGTCTTCGTCAAACAATTCCTGGGACACACGGAGATGAGGACAAAAATTGACGCCCAGGGACCACAGATTGAAATGTCTATTCAATGGTAATTTCAGGATCCTAAAATGGAGGTACGTTAGTACCATATTTCAGGCTATATGAATTGTGGGGATATTCCCTGAAATTAAGGCCTCAAAAATAGGCCTTATATATGGTAGGTACCTCCAATTTAGGTTCCTGAAATGACCATTGATCTATGTTTAGTATTAACGATCTAAGTATTGGGCTAGAATGTCAATGAAATGTCTATGTTTAGTATTAACATGTACTAAAAAAGTGCAACTATTGGGGTACACCCAATTTTCACCGATCGTCTTAATATCTAATTATACCAAATGATATCCCCAAAAGCTCCCTCCTAGTGGGCTCAAAAACTCATGGGGATTCATGGGCTTCATCAACTCACTAAGCCAAGCTTCCGAAACTGAGAGCCAAGCTGCCAATGGAAAATCCCATATATGTGGAACGTATAATAATCATACTGTGGATGGTTGCGAAATCCTGCACCAGTTGATAGGTGGTTTATCCCATTGTTTCTAGGGTTTCAACCATCCAGGTGGTGCAGGATTTCGCAACCATCCACAGTATTACAGTAAATCAACCTACATATACCAATAGATTCTATTCCCTACAACACCCATCACAATGATGTTGAAATTCCCTTATGGGGTAAGGGTCTACAAGTTAAAAACCCCTGTGTTCTTGGGATTTTTTTGATGTTTTCGATTTCACATTCACAGCAATCGCAATTTCTGCTGGCTTCGATTTCTGTTCAAAAACAACAAAGATTGCATGGCATGCAGGATTCATTTGGCATCAGTTGGCATTACACAGATTATATCAGTCCGAATCTATCTTGTCTTTTTGGGGGAAAGAAGGTCTGCTATTTGGTATATATACTAGAATTATCATCACCTTACAGTTCTCTAAACATCCAAAAAGTTCTAGAAACGCTTCAACATTTGCAATCTCTTCCATCAAACATTTCCACGGTTTTTCCCATGGTTTTTGTGTCCCAGATCTTTCTGTATCTAAACGCCCGAACGTCACGTTGCGTCCAGCGTTGACCTGACCGAGTCACGAAGGCCTTGCGGATCTCATCCATGGGATCTTGGGCGGCGTAACGTTGGATCATAATCTCCTCGAAGGCATCGAAAGCGATGTAGCCTTGAAGCTGGTGCGGAAAGGGAAATGACCCGGGGAACCGGGGGAGATTCTACTGAGAAAATGAAGCAAAATGGTGGTTTAACCATGGTTTAACCATGGTTTAACCATCTTAAAACAGCAAAATAGGATAAAATAGGGATCTGTTGAATCTATTATACCAATCAAAATGGTGGTGATTGAAATCAATTGTATCAACATAGTTTAATTATCTTCAAACAACGTTAAATAAGAATCTATTCTTGGAAAAATGGATGCAGTACGAGTATTCTGATCGGTTGGAAAACCAAAAAAACTGCTGAACCAATGTGTTTAAATAGGAATTGTTTATCATAACCATCATTAAAATTTGACAGGCAACCCTGTTTCCTGTAGATGTTCCGAAATCGAATTTAAATCTAACAATTGATGGTTGAAATTGGTTTAACCAACAAATAAGGATCTATCTTGGATAAAGCCCCATTTTGATGGGTTGAAATTGTCATGTGTGTAACACACAACAGGATAACCCATCAAACGGTGCGACCCCATCAACTGGATATACGTTTCCTCTTGGGATGGAGGAATGGTTACGTGTTGAGAATGACAGGTTTCAGTTCGGCTACTTGATCTGGATGGTTTGTCCACAAATACAATCAAATACGGGGAAAACCACGTGAATTAAATGGTTTCAAAAATTAGTCAGTAATTTTCCCCATGAAGAAACGCAATGTCGGGTCAAAAACACGTTTTGAATATGTATATATACACACTCATATCCATGAAATATATTTTGCAATGAACCATTTCCCGTGAGAGTATACAACCCATCACCCCCATACTTTTGATTTTATCCCCAATGTCTTTATCTATAGCTTATACCAAAATTATCCAATTACTTATACTCTAATCATGTTCATTCATATTCCGTATGTATGCTTCTGTAAAATGACCATTTTGGGGAATAGAGTGGTTTCCACAATGACAAAGCATCACCCATTATGAGCGATGTGGGGACTAGTATATATATAATATATATATATAATTATATTATATACATGTATTTAGTAAATATATATATATATAATTATATTATATACATGTATTTAGTATATATATATATATATCATATATTATCATATCATCGAGTTGGTAGAGGTAAATACACACACCAACAAAACACCACAAATTGATGCAAGTTGGGGATGGTTTCCTGGTTGGTGGTTTCAACCCCTCTCAAAAATATTAGTCAATGGGAAGGATTATCCCATATATGGAACATAAAAAATGTTCCAAACCACCAACCAATTACTATGGCTTTGAACGAAGGCTACCCCAAGATCCAAGTGACCCGTCTCCTCGCGATCATACCTGCCAGAGTCGATCTGACTCTCCCAGGAAGGCCGTGTCGTGGCTAATGAAATCATTGAAATCCACCATTTTGAACATTACTCTCTGGTAAACAAACATAGCTATTGAAAATGGCCATAGAAATACTGGATTTTCCCATGAATAGCATGGTGATTTTCCATAGTTATGTTATAGTTGACCAGAGGGTATAAATTAATTATTGATAAATTAATCTGAAATCACCATGTTGAAATCTCATAATTAATCATAGAAAAATCACTCTCATATTTTTGTTTTTGAGATCTTCTGGATTCTCGCCAGGGACTAGTTATGGCCCAGTTATGACACTGCCCACATATTTCATCAACACTCACCGATCACAAGATGCTGATCATAACAGTCATGGCGTGCATTTCCCCTGTAAGCTGCTTACCTTTTGGTGGGGCTTCACCGCTTTTATTAACACGCCCAATGAACACAGCTTCGTCTTTGGGCTTACCATTTTTCTCGGTAGTATCCTGATGATACATACTTGAATACATAGCTGTTGACATCCAGGTCTTTGGTCGTATCTAGGTCTATTCCAAGGTCTATTCCAAGGTTATATAAAGGAACAAACTTCATAGTTTGTTTCTACTCTTGGTGGCTTAATATCGCTAAACTAAGATACATGTTGTACCCTGTGGCACTTGAAACTGCCGAAAACTCCCATGTCTGGTGGATTTCTCAGTCTGCCATGTTGGATTCCAGGGGTGGCTGCTGAAACGGTACCCCATTTCTGGCCTGAGACATGCCAGACATCAGATTCTTGGTTATATCATATATCTCCTACGAAGAAATTTTATCCTCAACTATATGATGGTTAGTAGAGATATAATATATCATATATCTGCCCCAGACATCAGATTGTTGGTTAGCATGTTTTTTTCCCATGAAATATCCTCATATCGTCCCCGTCTTATCTCCATTATGGCAGCGCCTCGCCATAAGCTCCAAGGCTTCTGGCTTCTTGATCTCGAATCCTTTGAGTCGGCTCCATGCCGAGAGAAAACAGTCACAACTGGGTCCATAATTATGATCAATAATGATCAATAATATTGATATAGTACTGCTAATGATAATATACCAAGAATAAGAGCAATAAAAATAATTACTATTATTGTCAATTATTGTAGTTATATATATATAGATAATAACAGGAAAAGGGCTAGCAATGGCAACAGTCACTTGGGTTCCATCCATTTTTTGTGAAACACCTCATCCAACTGTGTTTCCACATATGAGACACATCAGATTTTGCTTGGGAGGAGGGAGTGATTGAATAAGTCCGAACTGAGATGTGATAAATGGATAGCCTGTTGCGTTGATTTTTACTTTGGGATGCTTCATCTTTGCCATAGAATGACTGATGGATGTTTTTTGTTGTTCATGGTTGTTGATGGTTGTTGATGGTGTCTGATGACTAACTGATAAAACTTGGTCTCTTCATGGTTTTAATGTTTGGAGCATTTGTCGGATGGCTCGGCACGATCTCTCAGGTGAGGCAGGATGACTATTCCACCACCAATCCCTAGCAGTAGAGTGATATCTTATCACAGGGGATTAGTTTAGTGTGTGTTTGATAAATTTACTCCGGTGATGAGCCAAAAAACTGTTTCGAACACTCCTAAAACCACAAGAAAAAGATCAAATGATCAAGACTAAGTATAATTTCAAGAGCTGTTTCATGTGTTTTCCCATGGTTTTCCCATGGTTTTCCATGGTTTTCCCATGGGTTTTCCCATGGGTTTTCCGTTCCGCAAGATTGCCGAGACTCCCATGGCTCGGATGGCCACCTGGCGTGGTCTCCGGTGACTTCGAAATGATAAAAGGTGATGAACCATCTATCATTGCCCATGACGGATCCATGGTGCTGCTATATATGCTAACAAAAATGGGGTATATTGAAGGGATCCATGTTACCATATATAGCAGCACCATGGATCCTATGGGTTGTAGAAACTATAGTAACTATAGTAACTATATATAAAACTAATTTTCTTAAATAGCGATGAACCATCTATAATATAAGATATAGCTAGATATAGTAGTTATAACTACAATTAGTCAATGGTATGATATATAGTTACTATTTCGAAATGATATTATAAGTAGTTACTATAGCTATGATATAGTTATTATGAACCGACTATGAAATGAAGTAATAAAAACTATAGTAACTATATAAAACTAAATTTCTTAAATAGTGATGAACCATCTATAATATAGTTACTGTTGATTTAAGGAAATAGAAGTTATATCAGTTCAACTATAGCTATACCCTCTGGTAATTTGTTACAGTTGGCTATTGAACATGGTCATAGAAATAGTTGATTTACCGTTCTTAAAGATGGTGATTTTCCATAGCTTTTTGTATGTTTACCAGAGGGTATCCCGCATGAACCCTATAGTTAACCAGTTGTTTTCTGTGCGTCGATGGCTCGGGCTCTCACCTTGTAGGTATCATAGCTAATGATCCCATAAACATGATCCATAAACATCATCCATAAACCATCATAAACCATCATATTTTGGTGGTTCATCCCACGGCTCGTAAGTGGTTTATAACCCCAGTTATAAATGGGATAAGTAGGGTAAATCCACTTATAACTGGGGTTATAACCCACTTACTAAGTGGGATGAACCACCAAGTATACCATCATAAACCATCATAGACCATCATAAACCAATTAGTATAGCTACCTTGGAGTAGGGGACACTACTAGGAGTTCATGGCATTGAAAAATCAGTGCCCTGATTTCCAGAACATTCAACCTGCTGTCATAGCCTGGTATTTAATGGTTAATAGAAGAGTTATGTTCAGTTATGTTCCGCACTATTTACCAGGATTTACCAGGTATACAACCATGAATTAGCCTGTTTGCTGCTATCTGGAACATTCAGCATGACTTTTTCCGAAAAAAAAAGTGATCCCGCCACAGAAAAAACACGAAAATCTATCACGAACGGTTGCTGCTGTACTCCCTGTATTGCGGTGCTACTGGACGGACCGTGAACAAATGGAATAAATTCCTGCTGCAAGAGTTTGGCCCCCCTGTGGACTCCATGTTATGTAAATCTATTTGGGGCTTGCGGGGCTTGCGGGGCCTGCAGGGCTTGCTGCATCACCATGTCTAGTTGTTGTATTCACGGACGTGTTGATTGCTTTCCTCTTGATTGCATGTCCAGCTGTTTTGATGATGTTCTTGTTCTTCATTTGATAAACTCATAATTTATGTAATATCCATACAGTACGTATACATACTAGTGTGTATATATATATATATACATAATCTATATATATATATCGTGTATTTAGTATGGCTCAGTTGCTTAACCCTGACGTGTTTGTCGCCTAAATCATTCATATCTCGAATTGTCATCTATTATCCATTCTGTCACATCCCATTATGTATCCATTTACATCCTACTATATCACGCATATACCATATTGATATACCCACAGATTGCCATCTTCAATGTGCCTTCAGCTCATGATAGTCCATCTTCCCAGTGCGTTCGGAATCAAAAATGTCGAAGGCCTACACCGAAATTCCGAAATGCGGCCGCTGTCTAAATGAACTAACCACTAACCAACCCCCCAAAACAAGGTAAGATTTATGTATATATATATATAGCTATATAAAATGCGATTGAGCTACTACTGATTTGTTCATCTATGTTTGTTTAATCGTTGTTTAAAATTGTTATAGATATTTACGGATTCGTACTGAAACGACCATCAACCTATTGGGTTTATAACTGAATCATTAACCAACATCAACCAACAAGAAACCCATAGGATCCATGGTGCTGGTATATATGCTAAGAAAAATGGGGTATATTGATGGGATCCATGTTACCATATATAGCAGATCCTATGGGATCCGTCATGGGATTTAAACTACCCTCTGGTAATTTAACATAGCTATGGAAAGATCCACCATGCTATTCATGGGAAAATCCACTATAAATGGTCATTTTCAATAGCTTTTTGTATGTTTACCAGAGGGTACATACCAGAAATACACAAAAAAACCTTCGCAACCAATCAAGCCTTCCGTGGAGCAGTGGAGACAGCCCCAAAAACCATCTGGTTTTCTGACTTTCACAGGGCTAGCCATGGAAAGATCCACCATGCTATTGAGAACGGTAAACCATCTAGTTCGACTGGGGCCAATAAATGGGCCATCTATACCATGGCGAACTGTTCAATAACCAGAGGCTCCATGTCATGAAACATGTCATGGAACATGTCATTACATTAGACTTTTAATCCTGGTTGGTTAAATGTCCAGTTGGTTAAATGTTGAGCATCACCATGGAGATGATCATCGGATGGACAAGCGGAATCTTTAAAGAGAAAGCACCAGTGGAATCTTGCTGAATTAGATCATACATTATCTGGTTGATAATCTAGTGAACATAGCCATTGATAATCTAGTGATAGTAGATCTACAATTCAATTATCATGGAATTGTAGTGAATTGGAAATTACATGATAGTAGAACTATATGAGAATCTGGTTGGTGGTGCAATAACCATCTTGAAAAATGATGGAGTTCGTCAATGGGAAGGATGACATCCCATATATGAAATGGAAAATAAAAAATGTTTGAAACCACCAACCAGTAATAGATCATGATAATAGAATAGAACTGTATTCTCCAATTAGATCTAGTTAGATCATATTATATGTTATGTCCCCATCATTGTTGGTTCACACCTCCTTGATCTCTTGCCGCTGCTCCTGCGAACTGCGAAGGGGATCCGTGATGTTTGCTGGAAATGGCTATTTTGGGCGCTATTTTATATTTTGATGTGTACAGGAAAAATATTTGGGGTACCTGAGTGATTATTATTTTCACTCAAATGCTGTTCCATGGATTTAATCACCTACTAATACACCTGTGCATTTTGCAAGTAAATCCTTGCACTGACATGAAGGAAGGTCCACCTTGGACCCTTTCCATGATGGCTGCTCGAGTGACCACAGTTGATTCGCTCAAAGTCCAACATCTTTTGTGGATTATATGATAAACTCCTCCAAGCCCAAGCTTGTCTCAAAGGTCTATGGATACAATCCTTAAATATGCAAATGTATATCACATGTATAATCAATATATATATAATTATATATATATATACATACACATATTGTTTGCATTTGTATAACACATATTACATGTGAATATACACATATATGAAGTAGGATGATGGTTGATGCTTCTCGCAGCATCTCCCAGCATCTGGGTCGTCCTTAGACACCGCCTTATGCGCAGCGCGGCTCTGCCTGACATTGCGGTCCAGGCGCTCGAATCCGCGCCTGGAGATCAAGCGGCGAAAAGCCACGTGTAGAAAAGCCATGGGAAATCATGACCAACTGGCACTGCTTGGTGGTGACTCAACCATCTTGAAAAATATGAGTTCGTCAATGGGAAGGATGACATCCCATATATGAAATGAAAATAAAACATGTTCCGAACCACCAACCAGATAATGTCAACCCCGGATTTTGCTAAACCATGGTCTATGAAAATCTGGGGGTATTCCCCCAATAGTCATGATTTGATACTTAAATGGTACCTGCCCAATTAAACAGCCATTTGGGGTTTATTAATCCAGGGTTGACATTACTGATGGGGGCCATTTACCTGGGGATCATTTACCTGATTTATCATTAACGGGATTACTGGATTCCTTGATTTTTACCTGATTAATCCTCTCCCCCTAATAACAACCCCCCCACCCAAATAATAAACACCTCAGGTAGTTTTTATTAGTAGGGGGGTATTTATTATTAGGGAACCAAAGCGGACCCTAATAATAAATTTAAATTTAAATCCTTAATTAAAAAAACTTGTGTTTTAATTTCAAAATCAATTAAAAGTCCTTTTATAACGCAATTAAAATATTGCCAAAAATTGATTTCGAAGCGGACCCTAATAATAAATTTTAACCCTTAATAAAAGAAAAAACTAGTT